CCTTTTTTCTTTTTTTTTTTTTTGCATCTACATTTTTTCAAAACACCTCATACTTCTGCAAAAAACATAAATTCATTTCTTATAAAATACAGGTAAACTCACGGACCATATATCTCATGATAAAAAATGACCAGAAAAAATTCCTGCGTTTCTTTATATATATATTTTTATTTTTTTTTAAATCCAATTTCGTTTTTGATTTTTTTTAAATCCTAAACAAAGTCGGATTCAAAAATAAAAAATATGGTGTTGTAGGGCTTAAAATTCCCTACAACCCCATATATATTTATATATTTTTTACCTATTATTTAATTAAGGAAAATTCGTGTAAAATCGGGTCCGCGGTGCGGACGAGGTAGGCCGCGGATGCGAACCCATTTGGGTCCGCAATCCGAGCTCGACCCCGCGGACGCGTCCGCGGGTGTTTCGTAGCCCTGATCTATTTGAAGAGCCGACAAGGGTTGTGAGAGGGAGGTCGTCCACGCAATAGAGATTATCCCAGGATCTAGTATTCTGAAGGGTAGGATCTATCGGATGTCTCCAAGCGAGCTTGATGAGCTTCGCCACCAACTCAAGGAACTCGTAGAGAAGGGTTAGATCCGACCGAGTGTCTCTCCTTATGGATCTCTTGTAGTATTGGTACCTAAGAACTTAAGAAGGAGGGCACACTTAGGATGTGCATTGACTATAGGGACCTGAATGCCATCACTGTAAAGAATAGAGAGCCCCTACCGCGCATCGATGATCTGTTAGATAGAGTGCAAGGGTGTCGGTACTTCAGTAAGATCGATCTGACGTCGGGGTACCATCAGATTGCAATCCGGCCCGAGGATCAACACAAAACCGCCTTTCATACCAGGTACGGTCTGTACGAGTTTGTGGTGATGCCTTTCGGCCTTTGCAATGCTCCTGGCACCTTTCAGCACGCTATGAATCGGATATTCCATGACTACTTGGATAAGTTTGTCATCGTGTACCTCGATGACATACTTATTTTTAGTAAGACTGTCGAGGAGCATGTTGCCCATTTGGACAAAGTCCTCAGCCTCCTGCGACAACACAAGTTCAAGATCAACGTTGAGAAGTGCGAGTTTGGCCGCACCCGTGTCTTGTACTTGGGTCATGAGATCTCCGCGGAAGGGTTGAAGCCCGATGACGCGAAGGTGGCCAACATTCGTGATTGGCCACCTCCTCAGTCTGTGACTGAGATGAGATCTTTCTTGGGAATGACAAGCTATTATAGGACTTTCGTTAAGAACTATAGCATAGTGGCCGCTCCTTTGACTGATCTGACCCGCCTTGACACCCCATGGGAGTGGACGGATGAGTGTGAGGCTGCTTTCAGACATTTGAAGCATGCGTTGACTTACTACGAGGTCTTGAAACTTCCTGATCCTGACAAGCCGTTTATAGTCACCACGGATGCCAGCCAATATGGCATTGGCGCCGTGCTCGCGCAACAGGAGGGGCCAAAGTTGAGGCCTGTAGAGTACATGTCCAAGAAAATGTCGTCTCAGAAGTTGGCTAAGTCCACCTATGAGAAGGAGCTCTATGCGGTTTACAAGGCTCTGACCCATTGGAGACACAATCTCCTTGGGAGATTCTTCATCCTCAGGACTGATCATCAGACCCTGAGATGGATGAGAACCCAGTCTGTACTTTCTGACGCCCTCAAGTGTTGGATCGAAGTCATTGAGCAGAATGACTTTGACCCTCAGTATCTGAAAGGGGAGTACAACAAGGTTGCAGATGCCTTGTCGCGTAGACCTGATTTCTCAGGTGCGCTGATTACTGAGTTCGATCTGACGAACCATGTTACTCAGTCCTTGGTGGAAGCCTATCGCGAGGACCAGTTCATGTCTGAGATCATACGCAGACTTCAGGCAAAGGACAAGAAGACCTCTGCTGAGTTTGAGTTGGTCAATGGCTTGTTGTTCCTTGAGAAGGCAGGGAATAAACGGTTGTGTGTTCCCAATAGTGAGTCTTTGCGTAGTTTGTTTTTAGGTGAGTGGCATGATGCCACCGGCCATTTTGGGTATAAGAAGACTGCAGCCAACTTGCTGCAGCGGTTCTGGTGGCCCACGATGATGCGAGATGCCCAGCTGTACGTGGAGACTTGTCAAGTTTGTCAACGGGACAAGCCACGTACTCAGGCTCCTCTTGGGCTTCTGAAGCCCCTTCCGATTCTAGAACGGCCTGGTTGGAGTCTGTCCATGGATTTCATGGATACTCTGATCACCACCAAGAGTGGGATGTGCCACATCTTCGTCATCGTGGATAGATTTAGTAAGTATGCTAGGTTAGTAGCAATGCCGGAAACAGCAAAGACGGAGTACATGATTAGAATGTTTAAAGAGAACTGGGTCAGGGATTTTGGCTTACCGAAATCCATAATCAGTGACAGGGATGTCCGATTTACCAATGAACTGTGGAAGGTCGCTGCTGCAGAACAGGGAACCCAGCTGCAAATGACTTCTGGGAATCACCCAGAGGCCAAAGGCCAGGCCGAGCAACGGAACCGCGCTGTACAACACCTGTTGAGGCATTACATCAAGCCCAACCAGGTGGACTGGGATGAGAAGCTTGCTCTCATCGCCAGTCTGTATAACAATGCAGTACACAGTTCCACCGGGGTGAGCCCAAACAGTTTGTTACTGACTTTCAAACCTGGACTACCCTTGGATTTTCTCCTTCCTGAGAATCAGTCAACAGCTGCACCAGGGACCTTAGAATTTGCTTACCGCTATGAACAGAAGATGCAGCAGGCTGTAGAACAGATGCAGAAGGCGCAGGCGGCAATGATAGAGTCTGAAAATAGACACCGCCGGCCTTCTACATTTCAGGTTGGGGATAGGGTCTGGGTTAAGTCTTCAGAACTGGGACAGGAGTATGGGATCTCCCGCAAACTCATGCCCCAGTACTTTGGACCTTGGGAAGTCTTGGACATCGTTGGTACAGATCCGGATGGGCCATCTTATGTTTTCCGGATCCCTGGTCATCTCCGTACTTACCCTGTCTTTCACGCCTCCAAGCTGGCACCTTTTAAAGAGACTGATCAGTCCCTGTCTTACACGCCTCCAAGCTGGCACCTTTTAAAGAGACTGATCAGTTTCCATCTCGTTGCTCAATGTTTTCCCCAACCATGGACGGAGAAGTGGACATTGATGACATCGTGCATCACAGAGAGCTGCCGGTATCAAGACCAGCAGGCAGGGGACGTCCTCCGAAACCGAAGCTGCAGTACCGCGTTCGGTTCCGGCATCACACTGATCCGAAGGACCACTGGTTGACCAGGGAAGAACTCATGCAGACCGCTCCTCAAGTTGTAACCCAATACGAGAGATCTCTGCAGAAGGGAAAGTGCCCCATGGTTGAAGACTGAGCTTCTCAGAGGACTGTTGAAGCTAAGGAGGAGGGAATGCGAGGCCACTGCCTCTATGAGCCCCATAAGGCCCCATTTTTGCAGCCCGTCGGCCGCCCTAATTGAAGGCAGGCTCGAGGAGGCCCTCAGGGCCCTTTTCTGGCCACCACGCAACTCAAGGAAATTCAGGCAGTTGCGCAGCGCCAGTTGGTTGAGTGAACCCAGGCTCCGGGCCGCCTGTGTGAATGTATGTGAAGCAGGCCCTGGGCTGGATACGGGGACCGGGCCAACACAGGCCAAAGGCAGTTGGGCGCATGCAACCACCTCAGGCCCAAGGCCTGTTCTCGTCGTGCTGGGCCTCAGGCTACCGGGGCCTACTGGAAGCTTACTGGGACTGGACGCAGGCAGGCCACTTCGATATAGCAAAGGGCCTGCCTCCTCATTCGGCATTAGGGTGCTGGCTGCATGCTGCGCAAGCGCTGCTGTGCTATTTGCTGGCTGGCGCCTACGCTCTCACAAGCGAGCAGGGAAGGAGCACGCAGCCATAGCCGAGCTGCGCTGCTGTAAGCTGGGTGAAGCGCAGGGTGGTCCTTGGGTGCTAGTGGCATCTGTGAGTTGGGGAACGAGGTTGTGAGTGTAGCGCGAGACATACCTGGTGCTGGAAGCGTGCGACATTGGTCGCCATATGCTCGTACTTCGGGAATGCTGTTGACGTCATCTTTCGGCTTCGTAGTATAGGCTAGATAGGATCTGCCACATGTAGTCTGGGCGCCGAGCGCCAGATAGGATATCAACTCTGGTTCTTCGTTGATGATGATGGGACTATTTTTCAGCATTGTCAATTATGAACTCTTGGTGCGTTCTTATTTGGTGAATCTCGTGATGTAATTCTGCTGTTGGCTCGAGGTCAAGACTATCTGGACTCATATGTATGATGCTGTTTGATTGCTCAAGTTCGCTATTGCTCATCTTCCTTGCAGTATCCAAATCCGGTCTTTTTTGTTGGGAGGGGGGGTTCATGCCAGTTTTGGAGGGTTGGGGAATTGTGGGGGGGGGTGGCGGTGCGCTGAGGGCCATAAGGGGGCTTGAAAGGGGTTGAAAGGCCTTCCGAGGGTGTGAGATAATTTTCCTTACTTTGTTTTATTTTTATTTCGATTTCTGTGAAGAATTTGGAAGTGACCCTCAGCCAAAAGTTGTTTGGTTTGCTGTTCTGCACAACATACTTTTTTTTTTTTTTTTTTTTTTTGGTAGGATACAGGCCTGGACCCCGCCCGTTCCAGTTGCCTGGCTCGTCGTCCCGGGCAGGTCCCGTGTCAGCTTTGGGGACCTGCGCCGCACTGCTGGTAGCCCAGGGTAAAAGTTAAAAGTTAAAACTTGACATCACATTCCAAAAGTACCGTGTAGTATGTTCAGTATGTTACGAGGATCAATCCGCAGCCAGACGGAACCAAACCCGTGACCGGGGCCCGTAAACGGCCGGATGCCTATACCAGTGCAACTATTGAGCAGTGATGCGAACCCTTTTTTTTTTTTTTTTCCCTTTTTTTCAGTCACAAAGCTTCCCGAAACATGCATCAATCGAAACGTCTTAACGTCACAACGTGATTAGTTGATGTGACTTGATAATCCTTGTTTGTGATTTGTGCGCGTCTGTGCGTGTGTACGTGAATCAGGATGCGGAACGCGCTAAGGAGAAAATGAATGGACGGATGCTGTTTGGTAGGCCGCTGCTGGTCCGGTTTGTCGATGAGAAGGTGTGCCAACTGTTTTTTTTTTTTTTTTTGGCTCTTTTTTTTTTGGCTCTTTTTTTTT